CTTTATTCTTAATGGAGCATGGAGAGAACAAAAGGAAGGCAAGTATACACTACTAGAGTGAACCTGAAACATTTCTTTACAAGCAAGTAACAAACTTCAAATTACCTGAAGTATTTGTAAAGCAAGCAACAAAATAGTCAATCAGATTAAACATCTACTAAATGCAGAGTGCATTCTTCAAAAACCTTACAGTAAGATGGAATTTTCAGGGAAAACGTTTAACAGTGGCAGAATATTTTGGAAAGTTAAAGATATGTTATTTTTGCCCACTAAGAGCAAATGGACAAATTATCTTTATAGTTTATTGTCCCAACCACTTACCTTTGCCACACTCTCCCGCCGATCTGTACATCTGTCCGAGCCCATAAATAACCAATACTTCCAAGTACTGGGAAGCATGTAACTGCAGAATTTAGTACTTGTCCTTAAACAGCCAATCACCAAATACTATCACATGGAGGAGGGGAAAAGGTCACTAACCCGGTGTAATTTTACACAGGCCAACACAGTGCTTACACAATGTTCGCAGCCATAACGCCGATGGACAAACAGAACAGTGGGGGGATTTAGGAAAGGACAGTAGGGGGTGGAAGCTTTTATAAGAATAGGCATGTTCTGACGTATGGGCTGTGATCATACAATTGTACTGAGCATTATGCATCAACGCTTTCTGGAATTGGAACTGTTTCCACACAGCTACCAATCAGTTTAGAAGTTTAGGTATAGGTCTGATGTTGAATGTAGGAAAAGAAGGGTTAACACCATTCATTAGAAAAAAATATGTTGATAATAAAATGCCCAGTGTTCCCTGTTCTTCAAAGTCAGCAGAATAGCACACACAGAATCGATAAAAGGTCAGTCCACCCAAAACCAATACTTCACCTTTTAGTGGATACTGGAGAAATAACCTGACAATTTCTTACATCTTTCCAACTTTAGATTTGTATTCAATTATAAAATATCTGCAATACAACAATGTTGACTACATTCAAAAATGTGTGTGTGTGTGTGTGTGTGTGTGTGTGTGTGTGTCCTATGCAATCCCCTCAAGATAACATGCGCCTAATGTAATGAGAAGTTTTGCTGAAGGAAAAAAAAAAAAGGTGCCCAATGCTCAATATATCATGGCAAAAAATAATGCAATGCTCTTCATGCATTGTTACTAGCCTAATACAGTAATAGGGGCTCTTGTACCTCAACCAAATTAGGATACACAAGGCATCTGGACCAGATTCATCCATCTCCGTAATCAGTGTACCAATTGATTAACGGCTTTATCATATTGTCTTGAACTTGCTTTCAACTGGCAAAGTCCCACAAGACAAGCATACAGCAGATGTTATAACAGTAAGAATTAAAACCTAGAACTCGGTACCAAAGACTACTAATTCTGACTTCTGCTGTGTGGATCTGAAAGTGTTTTCAGGAAAACATACAAAACCACATAGTGGCAAACATTCCAATAAAACAAATGCTGCATTGGTTTAGAAAAGGTGCGTCATGTCAAACACAATTTGTTTTAGGAGGTGGAAAATTCAAAGCACAACTCAATTTACCTCCATATTACACCAGGCAGGGGAAGGGGCCAAGTGCACTTATCTAAATGAAATAGATATTAAAACATGAAGGTTTTTTCATTAATGGGACCAGACTTACTATAAAAACATTTTCCTTTATTGTTTAGTTTTATTTTTTAAATGTCCTCATTCGCAAGTGCTATTCAGACCACTAGCCTAACCCACCCACCTCCCCCCGTATGGGGGGAATAGAGGCCATCAGCTAGCCGACTGCTGTGAAGGCACCCATACGTGCACGGTCACAGCTGGCCCGCACGTAGCTGTGTGTGTCCATAGACTTGCAGTCTCAGCCTGACTGAGGGCAGAAGGAGCCTATGGCTCCTCTGCACTCAGTACCCTTCCTCGCAACCAGGAAGATCAGAGAAACTCGAGTATCTTCCTTTTTGTGGCGGAGGAGACGAGCGGCTGCAGGTAAGTGTGCATGTATGGGGATGGGGGTGTTAGAAAAGTGCTGGGTGTTTCTTGCCTTAATGCACAGAATGTATAAAGGTTAAAAAAAAAAACACCCAGTCTTTAGTACTACTATAATATCAAATATATTCAAGACTAGTATAAAGATATTGCAATTATATTTTTTATTGCAAAGTAACAAAAAGGTATGTATGAAGGTCAAGAGACATCAGCTGCCCTTGGAAGAAAAGATTTTTCATCAGTTTAGAAAGAGCTTCTTTACAGCAGGAGTGGTTAAGCCGTGGAATGCTTTGCTACATGAGGCTGTAATAGCATACATAACGGCATTTTTAAAAAAAATCCAGACTGGACAATATTTGTGCATCCAGGAAATTAAGCCAACACCCGAAGAGGGGCCCAAGAAGGGGTTTCCCCCTATGGCACAACATAGGTAACAATTCTACCGCCTGGGGGTTTTGCATTCCTCTTGGCCAAAGCTGCAGGAGTTTTAAGAACAGTAGTCTTCAATCTCAACCCATTTACTTCCATTCAGTGCGAGTCATCTTATCTCAGCTATCCATGTCAAGAATTACCAGTATCCCCAACCTGTATGTAAACATTTTAAAATGACAAATAACTAAAAAAATATGCACAGCACTCAGCCCCTTCAGGGAAAGTGACAGATCAGCAATGGCTGGATACCTCAACTAGCCTCTACTATCAAAGTAGCCTGGAGAAGGTTTCCACTTATATCAAAGGTGCCGGAATTGTTGAAACTCATTTGGAGACTTTGAAAAGCTAGAAAAACGCAAATAATGGAAACCTGTGCTCGGAGAAATGTGAAATATGCTGTTATTTTATGTTAAATTGTAATTTAAATGTTCATTTACCAGGTACCCCTGCCAGGAACTGATGTCAATGGGTGTCAACTCTAGCTCAGAGCATTTCAAAGCAGGAGCAGCGTTGTCAACCCACACAGGGAGCTCCCAGTGGTAACTACAAGCTGATGTGCTGCTCACAGTCCATCTGCTCATTAGGACTTAAGTGCATTGATACAAGCCAATCGCTTCCAGCAAACATTTGCTGAACTCGCTTCCCCACTTCAAATGACAACGGCTCTGAAAAGGATCAGCGGCGCAGGAAAGGGACAAGCACATGTAGCTATGGTGCATGCATGATCCCCAGAATTGTCCGAGAGCTGTAAAATGCACGCAGTGCAAGGAAAAAGCTCAGCATAAAAAGGAGGTAAAACTGCATTAAAAAACAGAGCCGATTACATGAATTCTTAAATCCAAACGTAATGTGCCTCTTACTATGGGAACCTTATGTTACCTTGCAGCAGAAAAACAGGAGTGCATAGTTGTTTGCGTTTCTAGTTCTCAGGCCTGCTGTCAAATACATACATTTAAAGTTGTATTAAATGCTCAAACTTTTTTTTTAATAATGAATCCCGATCAAACAAAATATACATTGCTCAGCAAAGCATTGCTTTACATATTTGCTCAAACCCAATTATGTTTCTGAACAGCTGCTTCCAAGTCTCTTAGCTTAGATTCCCTGAACTTCCTTTCCAGTACAAGATCCCGAGGGACAGAGCCGATTGTGGCAACTGTTCATCTACTACCTTGGAGAAGGGGGGAGGGATGTAGCTTGTTTTGGTGTGTCTGTGGAGACAGACGCAGCTTACTAGCACACACAAGGGTGACTGCATAGCACCCTGCTTGAGAAAGGAGCCTCTCTAAAACAGTGCTCAGGGGACCAGCTGATCATACAGGTAACTATTAGGGCTATTCACAAAAAGATGAAGAGTTTGAAGAAGGCAGGAGAAGTGAACAATCTAGGACAACATAGCCGATTTGGAAAAATCCTCCAATTCAGGTCACTTTCCAGCTCAGCTATGTTGTCCTAGATTGTCCTTCGCTTCTCCAAACTCTTCACCCTTTTGTGAATAGCCCTGTAAAACATTTAAAACATCAAAAGGAGCAGCATCCATTGTAAGTGATTTAATCAGCATTTGAAATAGCATAAAATCCTTTTCGACTTTATCACTAAGAGTTTCTCGTCAAGTTAACTGACGCATTTCATCACTGCACACCTCGGTCTGGGCATGTATGATTTTAAACAATTCTGGTCATGAAAAGGTAAAGCAAATTACTAAAAGTGATCCATCAAGGGCCTGGTTCTACTTTAACGCCGGCCATACATTGGTAGATCGCTGTGCGAACGTCGATATGAAAAATCTCATCAGATAATATCACCAAACGTTTCATTTTTTTGTTTGGTTTGAACATTGGATTTTGGAAATTTAGTTTTCTAAACGAAAAAACATATTGTTAGAATTTCAGTCAAGAAAAAAAGTTTTTGTCCTGATCCTTCGATTTTTACATCGCTACCATCAAAATCGATCATTCTACTGGTGTATGGCCGGCTGAAGTCAGACGATCAGTATGACTACACGGCAATTAGCATCAAAAAAGGAGGCCAGTGATGGCAGCCTTCATATTTCTCTCAGCAATGGTTTCTTCCAAGGTTTGTATTTAAATAGAGGAACTATAAATAGAACTTCACTTTTGGTATATTTTTAACCACAAACAGTTTTCAGTAACGTTCTTCTGCTGTAACACAGATGAGAAGACAATTATAAAGCGAGGCATTATTTCTCCTTAGAAGAGTTACCGATTAAATACAACTACCGCGTTTTCATGAACAAGTCTGCCTATATTTGCTTTCCAGTTGTCCCTGAATTCCAATTTAAATGACTAGAAATACCCCTTCCGGGTTGAAGGAGGTGACCGGCCCGGAGAAGCCCCTGCCGCCAAGCACAGCCTGCAGGGGGACTTCTGTGCTCAGCTCCGCCAGGGAGTTGGGTGTCAGTACAGAGTCCACACACAGCGGGTAGCACAGAGCCGCACAGCCCGAGTGGAGTGCATTGAACTCTGGGTAACGTGTTGCTAGGTGAAGCGCTGCTAGCGCTCCAAGGGTTAACCATCCCGTGCAAGTTGTCTGAGGTGACAGGCCCGTGCGGGCACTTACCGTGTTACCAGGAGCCGTCACGGAGCTGGTATCTCAGGAGGTATGCCGGCGGCCTCCAGGCCCTGCCGAAGGGGGAGAGAGGAGAGGTACGGCTAGAGCGTACAGTCCCGGCTACCGCAGCTGTCATACAGGGGGAAGCAGCAATCTTTGGAAGGACGGCAACAGCGGAAAGAGCTCACTCTTCCGCTTCCGCTCACGAGGGGAAGAGGTGGGGGGTAGTTCCGGTGCACACGGCCTCAACTGAACTGCGGGAGGCGCTATGCTCGTGCCGCGGAGTGGGCGTGGCACGAGAAGTCAGGGGCGCCTTGAAACGTTTTGGTCGGCGCGGAGTAAAGAGGGCTGTATGAGTGGGCGAGAGGAGGGCGGGCTGCCCGAGCTCTGTGGGCGGAGAGAATCGCGTGCCACGCGCGCTCATCCAATCAGCGAGCGGCTGGGGAGTCCTAGTCGAGAAGATTGACGGAGGTACCGCACATTACCGGTACCGGGAGGTATAGCACTGGGGCATGTCTTCGCTTGGTTGTTAACCACTTGCTGACCAGCGTGTTAAACCCCCCTCCCTGTCCAGGCCATTTTTCAGTATTCAACGCTGCAGTACGTTTACATTTATTCCATCATGCAACGCTGTACCGAAATTAATTTTGTACCATTTTCTGGGGACACATAGAGCTTTCTTTTGGTCGTGTTTAATCAGCACTGGGGTTTTATTTTTTTACTATATAATGAAAAAAGAACCGAAAAGTTTTGTAAAAAAAACTGTTTTCTCTACTTTATGTTATAAAACATGTATGGCTTCCCAATTATTTGCTAAAATATGGGGTCACGTCAGGTAAATAGACACCAAACCTGTCAAACTTTAAAATTTGCGCCTGTGAAATCACGAAAAACTATCATGCCTAATATTGGCCATAGGCAACGCTTTTACCGCTCATCAGTTCAGTGTTATCAGTGATTAATGGCCCCAAAACTATTGCTCTCACTCCGACGTTGACGGCAATATTTTACATGTGTGGCGTGATCGTTGTTTTCGCACGTAAGCGTACCTGAAGCATATTTACGTTTATAAGTTCGTGTATGGATTTCAAACTTTTTTTTTTTTTTTATATATGAGACTTTCATTTTTTTTTTTACACTTAACTTGATTGCTATCTCATAGGGGGCTAAAAAGTCCTCTATGTGATAGCCAATATACAATGACAGGTCCTCTTTATGGAGACATCAGGGGTCCCCAAGACCCCTGTCACCTTGGGACCCCCAAAGAAGCTTATAGCTTCTTCTCTGGCTATAGCAGCCAGAGAAACGGCAGCTAAAGGCGGAAGTGACGTAATACACATCGCTTCCGCCTTTAGAGAGGAGAGATAAGCGGTGGCTGTAGAGGCAGCCGAACGTTTGTGTGGAACAACCGGTAACAGCTGTCTACATTGCCGGCAGGATTCTGCTCACGCGCAGAACAAAACAAAAAAATCACTTAGACGTACATCCACCCTCCAGGAAGCATCCACAGTTCGTCCATTTTTTTAAACAAGTGGTTAGATGAGCACAGCTTTCCAGGAGCGGGCTGTGGAGGATTGTCCCTGGAAATGGAAAGCATTGAGAACATACACAATTCTCTCTGCCATGACTATCAATGTGGCTACTCTTGGAAATAGTATTAATTTCCCTGACAACAGGTTACTCAGGTAGAAAAAAAAAAAGACAAGTGTATCAATAAAGTAATAAATAAATCAATAGAAAACCTTCAGGAAGAGACCCCCTATACCCAGACAAGAGACAACCCTATAGCCAGAGAAGATAACCTATAACCCAGTCAAGAGAACCCCTATACCCAGACAAGAGAACCCCTATACCCAGACAAGAGAACCCTTATACCCAGACAAGAGAACCCCTATACCCAGACAAAAAAAATAATTTTATGATCCAGTTTGCTGTAACAGGAAGAACATTTCTTCCCGATCACATACAGGTGAAACTCGAATAATTAGAATATTGTGCAAAGTTCATTTATTTCACTAATGCAACTTAAAAGGTGAAACTAATATATGAGATAGACTCATTACATGCAAAGCAAGATAATTCAAGCCGTGATTTGTCATAAGAACCTCAAATCCACAACCTCAGAAAATTAGAATATTACATGCAATCAATACAACAAGGATTGTACATAGAACAATATCGGACCTCTGAAAAGTACAAGCATGCATATGTACTCAGTACTTGGTTTGGGCCCCTTTTGCAGCACTTACTGCAATTACTTTTGCACGATATTCTAATTATTCGAGTTTCACCTGTAAGACAAATTGGATATTCCTTGGATCAATACTCTCTAGTGTTATCACTGTTCGGTCCGCTCACACCTCTGCAATGCTGCATCACAGGTGCCTTGAATGGTGTGCTTGCAGTGTGTTGTGGTTATCATCCCATTCATGTTAATAGGCTGCCTTTTGCAGCTATATCACACTAAGTGCACTCACCTTTTTAGAACATTGCATGGCAAGAGGTTACGATGTAATACACATCGCTTCTGCATACAGAGATTGGAGAGGGATCAGCAAGTGGAACAATGCCGATTTTCATGTTGTGAGCCGGTCTTGGGCCCAGCGGAGCCCAGGAGTAGCAGTAGCGGCATGGGGGGCGTGCTGAAGGAGGGGGGCACACACTGCTGGGCATTACACAAGCGATCGGACAGCTAATAGAGCCACCGGACGCTTGTATATGCAACAGCAGTTAGCGGTTGTTTACACCGGTCAGTGTGTTCTGCTTCTTGCCGTCCGTCAGTTTATTTACAATAACAAGGGCGGACGGCAAGTAGTTAAAAAAGATTGACAGGGCTATTCACTAAAGGTTGAAGAGTTTGGAGAAGGCAGGAGAGGTGAAAAATCTAGGCCAAGATAGTTGAACTGGAAATCGAGCCGAATTGGAGACTTTTTTGGCCTAGATTCTTCACGTCTCCTGACTTCTCCAAACTCTTCACCCTTTTGTGAATAACCCTGTGAGAGTTTAAAGGTGAACCATGAGGTGAGTGATTTTCACTCACCTCATAGTTCGGCTCAATAGATCGGGAAGTGAGCAAACACATACTGTCGCACGCTCACTGCTCGATCATCTCCCTGCAGAGAGCAGTGTGTCACTCGCGGCTCCCTGCAGGGATCCCCCTCCCTGCTCCGATCCTCCAGCGCTGACTGGGGGAACGGACAGGGGAGGGGGCGGGTACAGCTGGATCTGCCTCTAGATAGGCAGAGCCAGCTGTCAATCCTGCAGCTGGGTGGATCTCGACAGCATTGTCGGGATCCGTCCCGGCTGCGGCGGGCTCAGTATACCGCGAGCTGTAGCGCGCGGTATACTGAGCTTTGGGTCATGGGAGGACGTTAGTTTGTGTCCTCCCGTGACCCTTAGGAGAACTATGGGGAAAATTACTTACCCCATAGTTCTCCTTTATCACCAATTTAAGAAATAATGGTACCACAGCACACCCAACATTGCAAAATGTGATCTCATGTGATGTAGGATCATGTGCAGCATGGCACATGCTCCCAAATTGCAGAGATGTGAATGGGGGTTAATATCCAGTTTTATTCTGCCCATTTACCATTTCATCCAGATTTTTTTCTAAAACTAACTGATCTGGCTAGACCTAGTTCCAGAGGTAGTCTATTCCACGTTTTCACAGCTCTTACTGTGAGGAAGCCTTTCTGTATGTGAAGGTTCCTCCGTTTTGGTACTATCTGCAATTTGCCCCTAGTACCACTTTGGGTCAAAATGTTTCATCAGCCGAAATTTCAGTGCATTCCTAATTTGTACGGAGCATTACCACAAACGCAAGGCAACATGTGTACTTATGCAGGTTCTGAGGTGGGCTGTGTGGGCTCTCAGCTAGGCTGTGCCTGGTCTTAAGGTGCGGCGTCTCAGCAAGGGTCCTGACGCAGGGATTCATAGGAAGGAGGAGGACCCCATAAGGCAGACGTAAGGTCCCCAGCAAGTGCAGCTGTTTGCGTTAAAAAATGTAAATCGCTGCTACCGGCGCTCCGTAATCGGGTCATTCACGTAAGCAAAAATGCACAGTATCGGTGCCTCCGTAATGATATATGTATAATACAATATTTGTCTTACCTGTAAAATCAGTTCCTTGGATAACGCCTCCTACTCCCAGCCTGCCTTTTGTAGCAAATCGTACAAAGTGGATCACATAATACGGAGGGACGCTCGGATTCCTGTGATGTACTCCAAGGAACGTATTTTACATGCAAGACAAAAATCCTGTTTTCTTGATCACGAAGATGAACCAAAACATAGGCAAGCCCACAAATTAAAAGACAGACTGGTGAACCTTATGGCCCAAACTGGCATCTGCATAGGCCTGAATATCCTCCTGTTGAAACTTAGTGATAATGAACTCAAAAAGGTTTTTAAAGCAGTTTCAAATGCTGACCGAATCACTTACAATGGATGCTGCTCCCTAATGTTCAAGTTTTAGTTTCCCGCAGAATCAGCAAGTCCCCTGAGCACTGGTATCCTGTTTTAGTGTGGCTCCTTTCCTTTGCAGGGACCTATGTCACCCTTGTGTGTGCTAGTGAGTAGTGTGCGTCTCTACAAACACACGTGCACAGCAGGGCAAGCCACTACCCTCGGCCCTCCTCTTTCTTCCTCTCTCCTCCCTCTTCCAGGTTAGTAGATGGAAAGCTGCTGAAGACTGTGCTGTCTCTTGTGATCTTGTACTCAACTGGAAGTTTAGCGGAGGTGAGAGAGTTGAGTCAGCTGTATGGAAACATGAGGACTGTTCGTGCTTGGGCAAAAATATATTCAAATTTTCTGAGATTGTGGATTTGGGGTTCTTGGGGTTTTCATGAGCGGTTAGCCATAATCCTCACAATTATGACAAATCACGGCTTGAACTATCTTGCTTTGCATGTAATGAGTCTATCTCATATATTAGTTTCACCTTTTAAGTTGCATTAGTGAAATAAATGAACTTTTGCACGATATTCTAATTAGGATACACAAGCCTGAAAAGCCCAGAAAGCACTACTGCTTCTAGTAGAATGTGCCTGACTGGAAAAAGGGGGGACCTTTCCTTTGAGCTCATAGTCCTGGGTGACGGTCCTACAAATCCCCTGGCAAGGAGATAACTCATCTGGATAGCCGTTATAGGCACCTAGCGGCATGGGGCAGCATGGGAAAACTTGTTAATAGAGTCTTGCAGAAAAAAAAGTGGTAAAAATTAGTGTAAAAAGCGTACTTCTGCCAGGGCTAAAAGATGTCCATCAGCTAATGACAGAGGAAAAACGGAGGCAGGCAGGGAGTCAGAGAGGTTTTGAAGGGCAGTCCTGCAGCTTCAATTGATTTGCCAATGTCCAGTCGCCTGATGGTAGCTGCATAATCCCAGGGGTTAAAAAATGTAACTCCCTGTGTCCTGTGACATACAAATCACAAAATAACATGTATGTTCTGGTGGTATTAATATAGGCTGAATTGCCCAAACCTGGACAAGTAATGATCAAACCAAGCTTTTTCTTACAAGTAAAAAAAAAACCTACAATTTTCCAAAACATGTCATTTTATTCCAAGAAACACAAGCTGTTTATACAGAAATAAAAGGTTAATGGGTCAGTCCTAATTTTTTTTAAATTTAAATTCCCAGACTTCTCTTTTGAAACAAAGATCGCATATGTCTGAGGGGAGTCACAATAGGAGTCCATAACTGGATATTTTACTCATCATCTTGTCCCATCATGAGGCAATATATGTGAATACAGTTTATGTGATCATCGGTCCATGCCATAGTCATCAGGAATATCCTGGAAGCAGATCTTCAAGAGACGCTCACAATACTCCAACTCTTCCTAAAGCAGAAAAAAAATGGCTTTTTAAAAAAAGGCAACTACTGTAAGTTCCCAAAATTCTTCACAAAGTTAGGACCAGTTCTTGTATATCATTGTTTCCATTGGTTTCATTAAAACTAGGTTTCCCTTGCCCATGCTGGCAAACATAGATTTTAAAAATGAACTACATGCATACAATGTCTGCGTTAGTTTCATGGTACCCCAGCTGAACAGGTGACTATGATTGGTTCCTCTAGCCTCCTAATTTGGGTCCCATTACCGGGGGGGGGGGGATGTTGTAGGCAACCTCAGGTGTGTGGAATTTCTATCGCCCGATGCTCGGGACATGCAGTTCAGGGCGGGTAGTTTTTTTCTACATTTAGCCCTGCAGCGGGCTAGCAGGGCTAAATGTAGAGCAGGGGAGCCACCGCTCATTTAGAACAAGTGATCTCAGCTCACTTGCATAAAATGAGCAGCCATCTTATACGCCCTCCCTCCACCACCACCCCCTGGTTTTTGGAGTCTCCTGCTGTTTTGGGGGGGCCCGGGACCATGGCAATCATTTCAGGATGGAGAGCAGGGAGCAGAGCGGAGAACGTCTGTTCTCTGCTCTGTGATCAGTGAGACAGAAGCACTGTACTATTGCAGCTCCCTAGCTCAGCTGTCACTGGCTGCACAGAACCCAGCACAATGCAGTTGCTCAATGTTCTGTGTTGAAGGGCAGGTTCCATAAGGAAAATCTGTCACCTCCAAACACTATCACATAGGGGGCTTGTTATCCCTGGGAATGTAAAATAAAATGATAAAAAAGTAAATAAAAAAAAATTGATTAAAAAATAAAAAAACAAAAACAGTAAAAAAATAATAAAACCAACCCCAGCCCCGCCGCCATCTGCATGTGAATAAGCAGGGCTCTTTAACACGCACAATGTACATTAACCCCTTCGTGACGGGAGACGTACAGTTTACGTCCTGTCACTTTGTGCCTATATGACTGGCCACGTACACTGTACGTGACGAGTTATATCAGGCTTTGTAATGCCGGTATTTGCTGATTCTCAGCATTTAACAGTCATTCATTAATGTCTCAGTATTGAGGCATTAATTAATGAAATAATTAAGCTTTTTGTAAAAGCTTCTTCCTTTCAGTAATGAAAGAATGAAGCCGTTACATGCAAATAGAGGACCGCAATTTGCGATCCCGTATTTGACAGCTCAAAATAGCAGAGAGGCAGCAGTGACTCACCTCACCTCTCTGCTATTTGTTTTGACAGCTCGAAAGCCCGATGTTTAGATACATTTCACTCAAAAGATACAATGTATATCTTTTGAGTGAAATGTATCATTTCTGATCGTCTAGGCACGATCAAAGTGCTTTTAGGGAGATCTGAATCTGACTAAAGTCAGGATCAGTCTCTAAGGTTATTATTAGCTGTTCCTAAGTTTGGATCAGCCTAATAGCCAAAAATAAAATAAAAAAGTTAATTTATCAAGCTGTCATAGTGATTGCTTGATATAAACTGACAAGAAAAAAAAAAGTTTTTTTATTTTATTTTTATTTTTTTTACAAAGTGTAAAAAAATTAAAATAAAGTGTAAAACAAAATTAGGAAAATATAAATTATATATAAATATATTTTTATACTATAATTAATATAAAAAAATTCTAAAAAAAATAATAATAATCAAAACTTGTGAAAAAAGTGTTTTCTTCTAGTTTTTTTCCTCATTTTTTTTATTTTATTCAAACTAAGTGAGGGGTTAGGTACACATATGTGATATAATTATATAGCCCTATCTGTCCTCTAAAAAACTATATATAATATGTGTGGGTACATTTAGTAAGAAAGTATATTACTGCTGTGGAAGAATCACACAGCAAAAATGTAAAAAATGTGTCAGTCATTTATGAACAGAACCTGAAAACTAGCTCAGTCATGAAGGGGTTAAAGGGCAATTCACTTTCCCAAGCAATTTGTGAAAAGGGAATTACCCGATCAAATCTGTCCCCCTCTCCCCACGGCACTATACTTGCCTTTCGGCGCATGGTCCTTCGCCAGTAAGGGTGTACTATCTGTACCCCATACTGCCCTCCAGCACAGCCCTGCCCTATGGATTTTGAAAGCACTCGTTGGTCAGCGTGGTCAGGTGACTGCGCCGACCAATGAGCAGTGATTCTGCGCATGGTTAAATAGGGTTTTGGTAAAAATTATTGTATTAGGACAAGTAGATTGCCATGAGGGACAAGTAGATTGAGCCCCCCGCTTTAATCCTTGGACACATAGTTTTTATAGAAATTTCCACACCCCCTGGACCGCTATCTGATCTAAACAAAAAAACAAAAAAAAACACATGTTGTATAAAAACAACTTTGATCAAGATTGGCTAGGATGGTTTTGCTCAGCAGTCCCCAATTATTCCCCCCAAGATGGGGACAGAGCTAGTGGTGTTGGCTTATTACACAGAGATATGCTCTGCCCATAGGAATGTACATATTTACAGTATATACTAGGGATGCACAGTTACCAGTTTTTCGGTATCGAGTACAAGTACCGATATTTTTTTTCTGGAGCTCGCCGATACCCAATACCGATACCAGCATGTGTGGGCCTGGATTAGCAGAAAGCTTCCTGATTGCCTAGGAAGTCAGTGCTCAATCGAAAGAACACCGGCTTCACTTCCCTCCCGACACTGCAAGGCAGCCTGGCTTCCTGACCAATCAGGAAGCCAGGTGGCGGGTCATGACATGCTGCCTGGCTTCATGACCATTTAGGAAGCCAGGCTGCCTGGGAATAAGTGAAGCTGGCTTTCTAGCCAATCAGGAAGGCTTCCTGATTGGCCGGGAATCCAACTCCATGCTTTCCCGCGGCACTGCCAGTCAGAGGGAGATCTCCCTCTGACCGTAAGTACCAGTATCTGAGGTAGGTATCGGAGCATTTGGGCAAGTTTGAATACTCTCCCAAATACTTGGTATTAAGAGCATCCCTAGTATACACGTGTGACAATGATCATCCAACAATATATTACTGCCTGTACTCTCAGCCCTCATCTAATGTATACAGCTACCTCTCAACATTCTGCTGTCTGCCACATATTAAAGTATGGTCCATGACTGGAGTTATAAAAACAAAAAAATGGTAAGAAAAGCATATTTTTTGCATTAGAATGCGGTTATAAAATGGAATAGGGAACACAGAAATTAAATAGGTAAGAGAAGATAAACTAGTAGTTTTCACATTAGTCGGGCTGCTAATTAACAGTCTGGATTTAATTACATAGTACATGAAAACAATGAATTAGGTTTATGCAAATAATCAGCCTTAGCAAATCAAAATGTAACAAGTAAATGAGCAGTTGCTAAAACCATACTGGGAAAGGATATCATTTAGCAGTTCTAAATTACCCATACAATGAGGATGTCGTCTCACTGAACATCTCTAGAAAGCTTAATTCAAGATATAAAAGGACAAAAACCCTCTGAATAGCTTTTTACTAAAGAAGCCAATTATGGTAATAAATTAAACTGTTCCAGCCTCATTTACATATCATCTAATAAAACTCCCACAGTCACGATCTGAGAACATGGTTGGATTCTAACTGTCCATCCAAACCTTCCATATAGGGCTATTTAGCAAAATGGCCCATTTCAGGCTGCCTGGAACCCTGGCATCTTTAATCCTTTCAAACTATGTCTTCGAGTCAAACAGAAAACTAACCAAGTAAATTATCTTAAATGTAATTTGAAAAGACCTCCTTTTGTAGAAAGCTATCTATACAAATGCTGTGCGATACAAAGCAGTACTTATTGCCATAATGTCCTGGACAAGACCAGCAATACTCCCAATTTCAATTATCACTTGTAATGAATTGGCCAGTTCCTGATCTCCTTTGAGGTGAATACACACAGGACTGGTGATAAATTCGCCTTGTTTACAGACCTGATTTTGTGCTCTTTTTAAAAGAGTGCAGTAGCAAAGAACCAAGTGTGCACAGTTGTTACTGCAGAGCAACATTCATGGTGGGTTCTGGTGCTCAGACAACTTGCTCAACAACTAAACAGATATCCTTCTTCATGTGCTCTTTAGCTAGAGATCAGATGATTTATTAGACTATTTTATAAAAAAAAAGAAAGAAGAAGAATCCTCGGATTCTGTCATGATGATCAAACTGACTTCATTAAAAAATACAATAATTGACTTCTTTCCTGGCAATCCTTACCCAATAGTGAAGAGAAAATGGGCAGAGTAAGAGCGAAGATACAGATTGTCACCAGGAAAGTTTGGATGATATAAGCTAAAACACTGTTACCTGAAACTCCTCCTTCTTCTGTATTAGTTGACATCGCTCTTTGAGCAGCTCTTCAAAACCTAATTCGAGGGCTCGACATTCATCTATACCGACTGGGAATTCTGACACCATGCTTAAAAAAAAAACATTTTCTGTCAACTTATTTTTAAAGCACAGCTTTACATGCTCCACCCCCCATATGTTTTACTGGTAGCCCAGGAGAGAGCCGCCATCAGAGGGATCACTGATGCTTGTGTGTACATCTCCTTTGTGTGTGTGATTGTATGGTTAAAGTAACACTAAACTCAGTGTGTCACTCAGCTGAAGATCCTCAAAGCATCTCTGAATTGGTGCCGACACTGTCGTGGAGGGTGGCTGCTTCTGTTCCCCATGTGTGTGTTGTAAAGTAGCAACCACTCCAAACTCACTCACATGATGGGACTACAATTTCAATACAAATTTGTAAACTAAATGTGAGATTGTAGTCCATCATGGGGGCGAACTTGTAGTAGTTGTCTACTTTACAACACACACAGGCACCATAGGGAACAAAAGTAGCCACCCTCCAGGACAGTCTCAGCACAAATTCAAAGATGATTTGAGGATCTACAGCCGAGTGATACATAAATAAGATACATGTTTAAGCTTTAAAGTGACATTAAAGTCAAATTTCTTTTTCCCTCCCCCCCATGTTAATGTTAGCACTTACCTTAAATGATGTCTCTTATTCCGATCTTCTTTCCTGATGTTTTCATCTGTCCCTCCAGCGGTGCAGCGGCTCTCCGATCCAGCGCTGACTGCTCTGTCTCTCCAATCCTGCGGTGTCTGCATGCGGGTGCACGCGTCCATAGACTTACCTTGCGTCTCTGCTCGTCTCCCGGCCGAGAATCTGAACTGCGCATGCGCCTGCCCCAAGATGTTTTGTGGCCGCCTGAACAGTTTCGTTTCCTCCGGCGGGAGCATGCAGAGAAAAAAAAAGGTAAGTTTAAACCGCTGTTTTAGTGGGTTTTTTTAAACTGTTTGCCTATATCTACTGCTTGATAGCAGTAGATATAGGCAAAACAACAGGAGGGTTTAGAACCACTTTAACTACTGAGTTTAGTGGGAATTTAAAGTACTGTATTGCCACTTAACCAGTCAGCTCACAATGCACTGTGCCACATTCACGAACAGAGATGTGGAATTGTATAAGTACTTCAGTATTAGACTGTATATAGCCCCTTTGCTACCAGGAAATAAAAAGCATTTCAGTGGGGCTGTCCCTGCATTGCAAGGGTTAAAGTACAACTAAAGCCAAAACTTTTAAACAGGGGAACAGACAACAACAAGAAAAACTGACAGATGTTCTAGCATTCCCCTACTATAAAAAGTACATAAAGCAGAACTCCAGGGAAATGTTATTAACCCTTGCAGGGGGCTATACTATAATAGCATGGGTTAAGTGTTTGTTTTGGTCTAGGGATGAAAATAAAGTTACACTCCCCCGATTCTCTGAGCAGGCTGGCTGTTAGAGGCTCCAGGGACCGGTGTAACAGCAATCCCAGACAGCGTGACATACATGTGATCACCTGTAAGCACCGCTTTGTCCGAGAGTACTGTGAATGCAAGCTGGCCTATTTATCATGGCTTACAGGAACTGTGTTGGATGATAATGGTCATCATTCAACCTGGAGAAGCTGATTTTTTTTTCTTTTTGGTAAATGCAGAGTAGTACATATCTACAAATAAAAGCAGAAACTGCTTACTCTAGTACGCACTACAATGATTTCAGTTATGGTTGTTGAAACTGCTAGGACATGTGAACAGGGGAATGTTCACCTGGAAAAAAAAAATGGTACAAGCTGCAAGAGTCACATTAAGACGAGTATGGAAATAATTAAAAGGAGAACTATGAGGTGAGTGCTTTTCACTCAGCCTCATAATCTGAGCCGACCTGTGACAATGAAAAACTGTCACAGGTCAGCTCAGTAGAACGGGAAGTGAGCGAACACATACCGACGCTCGCTCACTTCTCGATCCTGTCACTGCAGAGAGCCGTGACAGGGGAGTGACTGGATTCTCCTCTCCCCTGTCCGATCCTCAAGTGCTGACTGGCGGAACGGACGGGGGGCGGGTACAGCTGGCTCTGCCTCTAGATAGGCAGAGCCAGCTGTCACTCACGCAGCTGGGTGGATCCAGACATAATTGTCGGGATCCGTTTCAGCTGCGGCGTCTCCGTATACCCGCGGTATACTAAGCTTTGGGTAATGGGAGGACGCTAGTTTGTGTCCTCCCGTTACCCTTTGGAGAACTATGGGGGAAAGCCCTAACCCCATAGTTCTCCTTTAACATGGATAACCCTGAAAGCACTGGAAATTGAAAAAAAAAGAAGAAAATCTAGATACAGATATAGTATAGTATAAAGATTTTTGGGAAAAAGCAGTTTTAAACATCAGAAAGCGCAGCGAAGCTGGGAATGTCAGGACAAAAAGCTGCCCTACCTGCAGGATTTGTCACTGGATTAACTGAAGTTTGTGCATCACAATATTTATAACACAAACTTCCATGTAGACTTTCAGGCATGATGTTACCTACCTGCACAGGGCAGAGAGGACATGTTCATGGAAAGGGCCATGCTCAGTGCGAAGCAAAGATACCAGTTGCTGAATCATCCCCATAGAACGTAGTGCATCTGCAAATCAATGAACCATGTTACCAACACGTTTTGAAATAAGCAGATACATATGCAATACTGTAGATTAGATTGGAGCCTGTTTACAAAAGCATATTTCTCAATTACTCTGTCGGACATATAAACAGTACTGGCATACACAACATTTGTTTAACATGGAAGAACAGGTGGGGGCACACCTCATGTTGAGGAAGATCTGGCTGAGGGTTTGGCAGACTGAGCTCCAGACCTTGCAGGTAGACAGAAAGCCAGGCTTGGGTTTGGACTTAGGGGGTGCAGGAGAGGAGGAATTTTAAAAGTTAAGGACATTTCTTAACCTCCTGCAGGGATGAACCTTTCCAAACTGTGCATTAGGCTTCTTTAAGTGAGGAAGATGGATTGTCTTGCCTCCAGTGGCATCTACTCTGACATCCAGAGTAGCTCCAAAGAGATGTTGTCCCTCCAAGACCATGTGCTTTGCAGACGTGGGATCCACGGACCCAAACTTTAACCAAAATGTATTCCGCATGTGTGCCGACAAAAGACCCATGCAGGACATGAGGCAGGAAACCTTCAGCAGCTTATCACAACTGCAGCTTAAAGTGTAGTTTTGCAGACGACCCCCACTATATATCTGATGTGTTCCTATTCACATAGTATGCCCAAAAATAATTTCTAAAAATTGATTTCTAAACTTTTAGATAGTTCTTTGGTGAATGCCACTGTGTAGATTCCAGGCTACTCTGAGAAATTTGAAAGTGAAACTAGAGGGTTAAACTGAGGGGTAGAGTGAGCTTCCTGCCATTAACATACAGAGCTTTTAAGGTTTTAACCCTTTGTTAGGACAGGCAGTGTTTAAATCTAGTTTACTTCCAATAAATCAGATCTGCCAGCACAGAACAGAGAGGGTTAATTAGAGTACACAATTTCCCACAGCTCCCTCCTTAACGTTACATAGAAAAGGAAGCTAGGCAGGATTTTTAAGCAAGTATAAAACACTTAGGAAATATTTTAACATTTTGAAGTTATGTAAGGTGAATGAGAACATGTAACAAATATAAAAGTAGGCATGATTACATTTTGACTAAAAAAAATGGCTTTAAGGCTACAGCCTTTTACTCTAAACATTCTATGATCAAGGGATCCAACACAGTAGTGACCAAATCCCTTTAAATAGAACTTGAACATCTCAGCCAGAGTTTGGCAAAGAAGATCGGGACTTGCCAGTGAGAACAGGGTACTTCAAGAGAGGGTTACTACCCGCTTATATATCCTTAATGACAAGTGCCAGAATGAACCAGAATGGTGGTCCATTTGTTAAAGCGGGACACTCAGGTCCACAGCAGGGGCAGACCACTTCTTAAACGCCTCTCTAAATGGATACAAAGCTAATGGGTCATAAAGTCTTGCATGACTGTAGTAAAAATCCTCTTGCAAGAGGGCAGAGAAGCTAGCCCCACCAAATGGAAACTAGCTTGGACAGACTCTGGGAGCAGGGGACACATGACTCCAGACATCTCAGTGGGCATGCTGCAAGCAGCACCACGGCAGAGTACGAGTTTGGGGCACTTGGAACAGCAGGACTTTCCGCCCTGTTTTAATCAGACATGTTGCAACTGCGTGGCCATGAGGGTGCAAGGCAAGGCTTCAGTTACTCACGAAAACCCAAACAATGGTAGCAGGTGAAGGTGTGGAAGGGCATAAGGAACTCACCAAACATGAGAGTTAAACGTGAATCTTTGCAGTGCAGGAGCAGCAGTAGGGAAATGCTTCCTCGCCACTGAAGGGCAGGAAAGGGAGCACATGACGCTCCACCCAGCAGATGACGTCAGTGCTCCAACCCTTTGCATGGTAGGTACTAACCGAAAGCTGGTATTTTAAAAGGTGGCCAGCAATCCGAACAGATGAGGTAGCTCCCAGTGCTCAGCCCGATCATCCTAATCTCACAGTAAGTAGTCAGAGGCAGGGCAAGCGCTGAGGCAATGTCAAAGGCTCTGGACCTGGAAGACACTCTGCAGCTAACTTGTTACCAGAATGGGGTCTGGAAAGTGCCTAAACAGGGCCCAATGCCTGAAGCTCACTTCTAGGCAAGTCCTGCAACATCCAGTTCAGCAGGGTCCAGTCACAGCACTAAGGCTAAGGACAGGTCATGCTGGATAGCTGCAATTGTAGAGTTCAGCTGTAGCAGCAATGTAGAGAAGACTCTTGGTTTATAAAAAAAAATTGAAACAAATGCTAGTAAAAAACAACAGGTTGGTCTGTTAACAGCAGAACTGAAAAAAGGTGCCCATCCTCCTCAGACACTGGCAAAAAAAACAAGGCATGCTGATGTAGAAGATATCCTGGGCTGGCCTACAGTTTTTTTTTGTTTCCCACTGTCCAAGCCTCCTGTAGGCTGCAGTGCACCCCTAAGTTTTAAGATTTCCTGTGTCCCTCAATGGACGAGAAAGAAAATATATTCTGGTCACTGTAGTTAATACCTGTAATGATTGTATTCAGTATATGAATTCCTTTTTCACATGCCTTTATCTATATATTTTTCACTCACTTAAAGCGGAATGAAACCCATTGATTTAACTTTCCCAAAGCAGCTACATTCAAGGCATGCCTCTTAAGGCTTTTTAAGCCCTAAAATGTCTGGTTTCATAGCTGATCACAGGTACAGCACCTGCAGATTTAAATGCAGCCTAAGATGGTGCTGTCTTCGACTGCATATGGATAGGAGGGTTTAGTTCAGCTTTAAAAAACATATGTAAAACTACATGTCCATCTAAGACTGCCCTGTTTACAGAGTGACAACATTGTTGTGTAGTTTTACTACAGAACACACAGTGTTGTCACCCTGTTGAAGTGGAGAATTCACAGATTTCCTGCCAGGATTAACAGGTAATAAAACTATTTTATAAAGGATACTCACACAAACTGTTGTGTTTATGCTAGTGACACGGTCATGATTTGGGAACTGGAGCACCAGGAATAGTAAGCTCTAGGTCTTGCAGAGCAGTATAGCACTAGGGGAATGTGCCAAGTACAGGCACACAGATGAGAGCACAGAGTTGGAGGGGGAAGCGTACGAACAAGATAGAAGACCAGCACACAGGAACTACAAGAAGTGGGTACACAAGAACCAAGCAAAGGGGAAATAGCCAACAGGGAGATCACAGACACAGGAGAATCAGCACAAAGCAGGGATCCAAAAAGTATACAAGCACAGGAGATCACAGGAAACACAAGGGGTCCGACACAGGAAATAAGAATTGTTGCTCGAACGAAAAGCAACAAGTAAAAGAGTGCTAAATAGGGGAGGAGGTGTTCAGATGGGCTGCAGCCTTGTGGAACACCATAGGCCAGCGGTGGCGAACCTATGGCACGCAGAGGCTCCTCTGGTGGCACGCGAGCCTAGGTCCCGGTTACAGTGACCCGCACACTCCAGGTGCAGGTCACTGTAAAGTCATGTTAAGTTTTTAAAGATGGCCGCTGCGAATCGCGGCGGCCATCTTTAAACCTGGCAGATTCTATTTAATATATTGCCGAACCAGCAATATAATAAATCAGGGGTGCTCATTAGGTCGATCCCTGGTAGATTGCGATGTCCTGTCCTCCTGACGTGGGGCTTCTCTGGATCCCCGCTGCTCTCCCCCTTCTGTATGCAGTGGGGATCCGAGAAGTCAACGAGGCGCTGCAGGCAGCGGCGGGGGTCGGAGCCGCTATCATCAGCAGCATGCCGAGCGGTGAGGAGAGAGAGAGAGAGAGAGAGCAGCTCGGCCTGGATCTGACAGTCGGCGGCTCTCCCTCTCCTCACCGCACATGCTGCTGTGACAACGGCTCCGTCCTTAGCCACCAATGTGGCTGACATAGTACTATGTGTCCCCAGTTATGAATGAACAGGACGTGATTTACATCACTTCTTGTTCATTCATGAGTTTCCCAATGGGGAGAAGCACTCTGTACAGAGGCTCCTCCCCATTCAGAAACTGCTTGATAGTAAATAGTTTCTGAATGAATGGGAAGCCTCTGTGCTTTCCATTCATTTAGAACAGAGGCTGCAAAAAAAAAAAAGAGAGAGATTGAGGACTTTTGTGTCCTCAATTTCTTTTTCTATTATAAAAAGGAAATATCAGGGGGCTGTTTAGACCCCTGATATTTCCCCGAAGCCCGAGTTAAAAAAAATAAAACTTAAAATTAAAAAATTATGTGTGTTTTTTGATGTGTGTGTTTTAAGGTGTGTTTCATTACGTGTGCGATGTGTTTTTAATGTGTGTGATATCTATGTATGTGTGGTTTCTTTTTATAATGAGTGTGTGATGTGTGTTTTATTGAGTGTATACATTTTTGAATATGCGTGTTTCCCTATTTTGCCTAAGGCAGTGATGTTGAATGTTTTTTAAAGCCCAGCGCCCAAACTGCAACACAATACTATACTTATTTTCAGCGCTGGCACTTTGAGGTAAATAAATTGATTTTGCGTTGCAGTTTGGGCACTCGGGTTCAAAAACGTTCGCCATCACTGCCATAGGCTGACAGCCAAGCACCAGGGACCAATATAAAAATCTGGCATGGATTGCTGGACATTGTGACAGACACCATATGTGAACATTTTCATTTTGCCTATACTCCCACTATAAAATGAAATCAAGCAATGATTCATAAGGTAAACAATTTGCATCTTAAACCTCTATCATTGGCCTGACTATACTAAAAGGTTTCCCTGTTAGTAAATCCAATTCTCTAACATAATCCAAACCCCAAGGCATGCATCGACCACCAAGAATCGAAAATAGTCTTCTTGGATACAGGATGACTTAGGCCTGGTTCAGACCTGGGCGTTTTACAGCGCGTTCCTACGCTCTGTAAAACGCTCAACATGTGAAAACCAATGATTGCCTATGGGCATGGTTCCCACCTGGGCGTTTTACAACGCGTAGGAACGCGCTGCAAAACGCCCTACGTCCAAAGAAGTACAGGAGCTTCTTTGGGGCGTATTTGCCACGCGTATCCATTGGGATACAGCCTCGGAAATG